ATTAAAATCGACACTTTTTTTAATTATAATTTTCATTATAAGTCCAAAATATGTCGCTTTTAATTTTATTCTTATAATTATTACACATACCAAAGAGAAAAACTTATGTTATTGGAATTTAATATTTACAGCTTGTTTTAGTATTGGGAGATTTGCACATTCCACACAGATGTAGTAGCTTACCAAGTAAATTTAAGAAACTATTAGTGCCTGGTCGAATACAGCATATTTTATGTACAGGCAACCTTTGTACGAAAGAATCGTATGATTACTTGAAAACATTAGCTAGCGATGTACATGTTGTTAGAGGAGACTTTGATGAAGTATATTGTCACTTAATACTGTTTTCATATCGTATATTTAATACTTTAAATACTATTATAAATGTTTAAAAATGCTCCAAACTTTTATTTATAGAATTTAAATTATCCAGAACAAAAAGTTGTTACTGTTGGTCAATTTAGAATAGGACTAACACATGGGCACCAAGTGGTACCTTGGGGAGATCCAGAATCATTAGCTTTAATTCAAAGGCAATTAGATGTCGATATTTTGATATCAGGTCATACACATAAATTTGAGGCATATGAGCATGAAAACAAATTTTATATTAATCCTGGTTCAGCAACTGGTGCATATAATCCTCTTGACACGTAAGTTTTTATCTTAATATTATTGAATATACAGAATGTATTACATAAAGTTTAACAAAGTATTGTTTTTAAATTATCGAATTTTGCCTGTTTGGGCTATTTGGGCCATATAGATGATAGATAGAACACTGTCACAGGTCTCTAATGTAATATTGAAAAAAAGCCCTACTGTTTTTTAAATAGTATGATATACAAATTTTTGCATTTCTAGATAGATTGCATTTACAACTATTGGATTGCATTACCACACTTGGACAATAACAGAGTTGTAATAATATTTGTCAGTATCAAAACTGAATGGGTATTAATAAAAATTCAACTTATTTGTCAGATAATGCTTAAATAATAATTAAATGATAATGCTTAAAATGTTATCTATACATTTCTAAACATTTGTTAATTATTTTCTTAATATTCTCTCAAACTTTTAATGAATTTGTGATGTTATAGAAGCATACCTTCTATGAATTCTTCCTTTCATATTATTTTTTGTTATTGTAATATTGAACAAGTGTTATGGTCATAGAATAGCACTATCCCTTTCTATCCATTTGTATCCAAATTTATCATTCAAAAACAAGTGGCAAGTGGTACATCATTTAAAAGTATTGTACTTATAACATTTTGAACATTTATTATCTGATAAATAAAATAATAATTTTATCAAGACCCATGGTCTTCAATTTTACTTACTGAAAAACTTTTTTTGTATAACTCATTAATTATCCAAAATATGGAAAAATGTTTTCAATAAATGTTCCATTAAACTAGATTTATCTAAAATTGCAAACATTTGTGTACCACTGCATTTAAAAAAAATGGAAGAGTACTGTATATATTATTTAACAAGCCTTTACAAAAGTTATAAAATACAAAAAGTATTTCCCTGCTACCTTTAATAGTTTAGGAAAAAACATTTTGTAATACTTTATGAGGTACACCCTGAATAC